GTACCCGCCTCTGCCGCTGCTCCCAGCCGGGGTCGGAGGAGCGGGTGAGGGCTCTCCTGGGGCCCGATGGCCACCGGGGCCGGGCTGGGGGCAAATGCCCCTCAGAGGGGCTGGGCGAGGGGTCTGATGCGCCCAGCTGGGCTGGCAGCGTCTCTGCTGCATTTGCCCATACCAGGCCGGAGAGCGACTGGGTTGGGGGAGTGCAGGGAGTAGGGATGGGGGAGGAGAGCCTCCCGGGGAGCCCGGTGCCCATGAGGAGGGGTCCTGGGGCCGCCCTCGCCCCCTCCCCTGCCCGGCGATGATTGCGGTGGGGATGTGCTTGCTGTTCCAGGTGGCCATGAACGACCTCAGCCCGGCAGGTCCCATCCAGGCCGTGGAGATCCTGATGGAGAGCCCGTCCCTGGCCGACATGTGCAGGATGCACCACGCCGTCATCCGGCGCATCCAGGTACGCTCAGCCGCTGCGGCGGGGCTGTGCCGCTGGCTCCAGCAGACGTGGCCCTGGGGGGCAGCGGGGGGACCCTAAGCAAGCCAAAACCCTGGGGGCCAAAGCCTGGGGCCGCAGCCGGGTGCTCCGGGAGGGTTTCTCTGGCACCACCGTGTGGCAGACCAGCCCTGGCATGGCCCGGCCTCTGGCAGGGCTGGGGAGGGAGACCGTGGTGGACCCCGCTCCCTTCCTGAGCCCCGGCCTCGGCTCTGGGTGTTTGGGCCATGGAGCGCCGGGAGGTGCCTGCCGTCCGCCCCAGGAATGGGCCCCGGTCAGTTTGGCAGCTAAACAGAGTGGGGCCCCTGCGGCATGTGGAGGCTGGCAGCCTTCCCAGAGGTGCTTTGGCGCCGGTAAGCACCGTGCCAGGCCTGGGGAGAGCAGGGCAGCGCAGCTGCCAGGTGGAGACCTGCCTCCTGCCCGGAGCCGTGGTCAGGGCTCCCCGGGGCTGGGTGCTGCCGCAGCCGGCTCTCCCGGTGCCCGCCGCAGCAGAGCTCTCCGCTCCCCGCAGGCGCTGGTGCTGGAGCAGGCGGCACAGGGCTCGGGGCCCCCCGACCTCCGCATGCAGTACCTGCGCCAGATCCAGGCCAACCACGAGGTGAGCTGCAAGCCCACGCCGGGGGGTGATGGGCGCCCACCGTGCCCTGGTCCCCTCCCCATGGGGTCACGCCCTCAGGACCCCCTGCCGCAGCCCCGAGCCGATGCACATCTCTCAACCTCCATCTCCCTTGCGCAGATGCTGCTGAAGGAGGCACAGACACTGCGTGACCAGCCGCCCCTCGGCGAGGAGGGAGCTGCGACGGCGGAGAAGCTCCTGCACATCTACAGGCAGCTGCGCAACCCCAGCCTTGTTCTCCTGTGAGCAGGGGAGCGGCCAGCGCGCCCCGGGGGCCCCCGAGCCCTGC